TTCCACCCGAGGAATCCAACCAGTACACTCGCCTTCAAACAGCTCTCTCTTATCCGTCTCGCAATGCTAAGCTGCCTCGTTGTGGCATCTACTCCCCCAACCTCTCCCTCGCTTTCGCACCGTTGGCTGATATACTTCCACAGCTCGCCCACGGCCGCCTCCTTATGGAAGGCTAGCAACGCAGCGGTCGCGACGATGTACCAGAGCGAATTTACGCCAGTGGCGCTTTGGTCGGGTATAAGCGTGGAGAGGCGGGTGAAGTCGATGCTGCCGGCCCGGCCGCTGGGGGATGTATGTTTTGATGTTTGGTTTGTGGTATCGTTAGTGGTGTTTGAGGGTGATGATGAGGGTGATGGTGAGGATGAGGATGATGATGATGATGGTGATGACGAGGGAGCCGTGGCGGACGAAAAAACGGTTGCTGAGGTCGAACATGATCTCCGATGATGTGTTGCAACACCTTCCCGTGCCCTGGCCGACAGCGAAGGGGAGAAGGGGTTGTGGGCACCACCACTACTACTACCACTACTACTATTCCTTGGTATATGCGCCGCCGATTCTTGTTCTTGTTGTTGCTGTTGTTGTGACGTCAATACTGTCTGCCGTTCTAAATGTCCCCAACCAACAGACACTCGATCCCCAGCAACATCCCCATCTCTCACTCGTGGCTGACGCTGACCGGACGAAAAGGCCATGGCGCATTTCCGGTACAGCGCCATGAGGCTCCGTAGATATTCGTACATATCGAACTCCTGGAGCGTGCGCGTGCGCATACAGCTACTCGAATGTACGATTGCCTCTCCTGCTACTGCTCCTGCTCCTCCTCCTCTTCTTCTTCTTCCCATAGCAGTAGCAGTAGCAGCTCCAGCCTCAGCAATTAAGCCGCAGCTATTATAAGACCGTGCCGATGCGTAAATAAGTCTGTGTACACGCATAGGCACATGTACATGCACACCATGTACACCATGAAGAGCCGCAGGTGTAGGAGCGGTGGATACAGCATTAATAACAGTAGGAACAGTGCCAAACTGCCTTCCTTGCTGTTTCGCGCCCACACTCTTTATTAGCCGTGGTGGTAGTGTTGGTAGCAGCTGTAGTAGCCGCCCTCCCCTGGCCGGACGCAACGTCCGAACGAGAGGCGGAGGAGGAAGCATCATAAACAATAATTTTTGGCCGTGAGTGTATAGAACTTCCTTCTCCCGAGTCCCGACCGGAAAGCCGAAGCCAGGAACTTTGCTAAAGGATGAGCCGACCGGCCTGGCTAGCTGGCTAGCTGGCTGGCCTCAACAGGTTTTTGATCGCCAGTAGTTACCCCTTCTAACAAGTCGGGCCCCCGGCCTGGTTTCTTCAAACGCGCATGCACCCCCGAGCGGCACCGACCCCCGCGCGGGCCGAAGGGAGAGAGATAGCTGGAGCTAGGAGCTAGGAGCTGGAGATGGTGAGGGGAGCAGAAAACAATCTAGGGGTCATCCATCTGATCCCGCGATCATATCATCATCAGGTCAACAACAATGAATGAATGAATAACGAATAACTAACCAATGCGAGCGAATGGCTTCCTTTTTCCTTCCTTCCAATAATTCCCGGAACTAGCTAGCAGCTGCACTGGCCGAACATGTAGTTAAGTTACATGTAGCATGTACATGTACTCCGCATACATACTTAATTAACTTAACGTTTACCGCAACTAAGTTTATTATTAGATAAAGTAATTATATCCAAACGAGGCAAACACGCCAAGGGACAACGTTCGGCTGATCGGGAGAGCCGAGCCAAGGCCGAACGCGGACCGGGGGACGGCTTGCGGAGGACGGGGATGAGATGGTGACGTTGTTATTGTTATTGTTGGGCAGATTTGGGTTCACTTCAGATCCTGATTATATAGGATTTATGTATAACTATACAGTTTCCAAATAAAGCTGTGGAAGAGTGTATTCAGTGCTGTGCTAGGTATGTAATGTACATGTACATGTACTGTACATACAGAAAGGTAACAAAGCCAAAACCAAAAAATCTATCCCAACCACCTACCTCATGCTTTATCCGGCCAGTAGGTCTTGATGATATCCTTCTTGTTCACCTTCCCCATCGCGTTCCGCTCGATACTATCCACAAGTTTCAGCACAGTCGGTATCTTGTACGGGGCCATCTCTTCTTTCAGTCGAGTACGCAGCGGGTTTAGTTCAAGCGTTGGAGTCTGTATGATATGAAAATGAAAGCGGGTTAGATTAGAATCAAATCCACAGGGGCCGTGGGCGCAAAAAAAAAAAAAAAAAAAAAAAAAAAAAAAAACCTACCCCCTCCCGCTGCTTAACAACAGCCGCAACCCTCTGCCCCCATTCCTCGTCCGCAAGCCCCACAACCACAACCTCCTGAATCTCCTCCAACGCCAACATCTTCCGCTCCACCTCCAGCGCAGAAATCTTGTACCCACCAGACTTGATCAGATCAACCGACGCCCGCCCCTGGATGTAATACGCCCCGTTCGAATCCCGTTTCGCAACATCGCCGGTCTTGAACCACCCGTCGGCCGTAAATTCCTTCGCGGTGGCTTCCGGCCGTCGCCAGTATTCCAAAAACACGTTATCGCCCTTCACCTCAATCATTCCCGCTTCTTCCTCCTCCGCCCCCGTCGCCGCACCAACTACCTCCCCAGTTTCCCTATCGGTAAGCCGAACCTGCACACCCGATAACGGCCACCCGACACTACCATCAATCCTCGTCTCAACATCTAACCCACAGCTAATCCCCATCCCGATCTCCGTCATGCCATACCGCTCCAGTAGCACCTGGCCCGTGATCTCCGCAAACTTCGTCTTGATGGGCGTGGGCAGGGCCGCGGAGCCGCTGACGGCGAGTCGCAGCGCCTGCGCGCCCTGACGCGCATCCAGCTCCAGCTCCGTGGATCGGATGTGCGCATCGAAGTAATCCACGAGGCGCGAGTATACGGTTGGGACGGCGAAGAACATCGTCGACGATCCCTTATCGCACCACCGCTGCCAGACGACGGCGGGGTCGAATTTGGGGTGCATTTCCACCGTCGCGCCGGCGAGGAGGGTGGCTGTGAGCCCGTTTATGATCCCATGTACGTGATGTAAGGGTAGGATATGGATGAGGTGGTCGGTCGGGGTGTATTTCCATGCTTTGACTAGGCATTCTGATTGAAATATTATGTTCTTGTGGGTTGTCACGCAGCCTTTGGGATTTGAGGTTGTTCCGGAGGTGTATATCATCAATGCGCGTCTGGATTGGGGGAGGGAGGCGTGGAACGGGGGTAAGGACGTTCGAGATTCTGTGCTCCTCGCGACAAACGGGGTAAGGTTGAAAAAAGGGATATCGGGGCACGTTTCTTGGATTGCGGCTTTCATATAGTTAAACGAGGGATGGAGGATGATCAATGACGGGTCTGAGTCTGTAATGGTGTATATGATTTCCTTTGTAGGGTGAGTTGTACCTGTTATATATTTTGTTTTTTTTTTTAAAAAAAAACTAGTTGTTAGTTTAGTTGTACATCTTCTAGGAAGAAAAATGTAAAATTACGAAACAGCAAAATTGAATATATCTCCTACACAATGGCACGCATACTCCGCCAGCAGCCCATACAGCCCATTGGCAGACGACATAGTCGTATCCAGCCGGTGTCAAAAACGCAATGCGTCGCTCCTCCAAATCCCCCGTCAACACCAGCTCCAGGGACTCTAGAACCTGCTTCTTGAGGGACGAGACGTCCACTAGGAGTTGGGCGTAAGTGAAGCTTTCACCCTTGGCAGTGTCCACAATCGCGATTTTGCGGGCATCTTTCTGCGCGTGGCTCCGCGCAGCCAGCAGGAGAGGTAGCGACGGAATTGAAGCCGATTTATCATTGTTATTATTATTAGCATCAGCAGTAGTAATATTATCATCACCCGTCTTGGATTGCTGCCGTCGACTTCGGATGAATTGGAGTGTGAAGTAGGGAACGGAGACCGCTGCGGCGGCCCAGAGAGTAACGAGAGCCCAATTGTGTTGACGGTCCCTGAAGGGACTGACCAGGGACATTCTCGTAGTCGTCGTCGTCGTCGTCGTTGTAGTTATCGTTGTAGTAGTAGCAGCAGTAGTTGTTGTTATTGCTGTTGTTGGTATCTGTCTCCGACTCGCGCTTCTTCACGGAAATGTAGGCACGAAGCTGACAGCAAGCTGACGCGCTTTCTGAAGCTTTGACGTCGGTATAGACGGGGGGGAAGCTTGCTATGAGGATACAGAGTGACAGGTAACTTGGAGACGGAAGCACATTCCCCTTCTTCTTTGTATGCGCCACAGGCTGGGGAACGGGGGAGGTGGAGGGGGTTGTGAGAGGGTGTTATGCAGCGTAGATTGGATTCAGGCATGACCCGGCATACAGCACAGACAGAGAGGATGCAGAATAACAAGAATAACAAGCAGAAGAAGAAGAAGAAGAAGAGGAAGAGGAAGAAGAAGGAGAATAATAAGTGTCCACCCACTGCTGCCCAGGGTGGATGTGGAGAATCCATCTCTAGACTGACTCTTGGACGACAAGTGTGTATGTAGTAGTTAGTGTTTAGCCTCGGCTGTCAGTAATCAGACGCTCGGCGGAGCGGTATTTAAGTTATTTAACCAAGGGGAAGCTACAGCGTACATCGGAGTAACTATTTACACCTACCTACACACGCCCAGCACACTACCCGCTCCGAGACAGAAGCTCAATCCAGGGCTAACAACAACTAACAGACTTACTGCGTACTTGCAAAAAAGGAGGATGATCTACCAACCCAACATGGCCAGTCACAGCCAGAGCCCGATCCATAAACCCTGCACCGCTAAGTTAGGGGGTTAGATGGCTGTCTGGCTGAGCTTGACCTGGGCCGTGGCTTGGAGCGATCCCAACTTCTCCCCAGCTCCCGCTCTGCAGTCATCAATCACACGCGCGGATCAACAATATCGATATATTAAATCCTGCATGCCGCTTTTTAGCGACGCAATGGGACACAAAGAGCCAGCCTGCCAGCCCGTGATCTTCGCAGCCAAGATTTTAGCCCCAACCCCCCCCCCCCCAGAAACCCCAGAAACAATGGTTTGGCTGGCAGGGCATATGCGCTCATGGAAAACAGCTGCTGTCGTCCGGAGCACATACTGCTTTTACCCCAGAATTGGCCGTGTTGCGCGTGGTCGAGCCAGGCAAAGCTCGTTGCTTTTGCCCTGATTTGTTCTTTTGCTGCTGCTGCTGCTGCTGGTGGCTTGTTTTGCCATGTTCGTGGAATAGATACTCAGGGATAGTTACTCACATGTCCTGTTTAGTCCTATAGGAGCCTCTGTTTGTCGCCTTCACTTATATAAATCTTTATATAGCTGCTGCAACCCCCTCCCCTCCCCCCCTCTTCCCAGATTATTCTCGCATTCTTGTTTGCTTCTTGATTCCCGTCTGGAGCCGGCAGTCTCTCTTAGCAAATCAATAAAAATAACCCCCAGCTCGCCTCCTGTTTGACATCCGCGTCCTTTAGTACATTTACATGTACATCCCTCGGCAGGCCAATGTTTGTTCCTCTGCTGGCCAGCGCAACATAAGCGAATTATCTATCTTCCCCACTCAATCATGGCCAACACCAAATATGACGAGAAGGACGCTGTTGTCTCCGCAGACACCAGCAAGGAGACAATGGACCACAACGAATCTTTCCCCGAGAAAGGCGTGGCTGTCAATCGAGACTATGCCGGTGCCACTGAAAAGACAGATCCAGAGGAAATCCATCTGGTCCGCAAGCTGGATTTTAGAATCATGGTCTATCTTCCTCTTTTCATATTCTTCTCTTAATAAGATATTCTTTCTTACTTGCATGAGAAAGCCCAGTGGTAGCTAACATATTTATCTATGTATCTGCAGCCAATGCTGGTCTTTATGTACTTCCTCAACTATATCGACCGCAACACGCTTGCCCAGGCACGCCTAGACGATCTCGAGAAGGAACTGGGCATGGAGGGCGAATACCAATTCAACACCACCATTTCCATCCTCTTCGTCGGCTACGTTCTCATGCAGATCCCCAGCAATATGCTGATTACCCGTGTCAGACCGAGTATCTATATGAGCTCGTGGATGGTTGTTTGGTCAATTGTGTCAGGTTCGTTTACATATAACTTAACTAGCAGTTTATTTTGAAAAAAAAAAAAAAAAAAAGCAACTTTGGAATATTCGGATATTTACAAGTTCGAGATAATTTAGAAAAGAGACTAATTTCTCATCAGCTTGTACGGCCTTGGTCAAATCCTACTCTGGTATGGTGGTGTGCCGTTTCTTGCTTGGGGTAACTGAGGCACCGGTAAGTACAGATCCTATTCTCGGCAAACAAAACCACCGAGTTCTTTCTTGATCTAATGTTCGTATTTAGTTTTACCCGGGAGCGACATATCTTCTGGCCATATTTTATACTCGCAAAGGTTCATAAACATTCCTTCTTTCCTTGTATCAGGTTTTTTTACCTATTTTTCATAGACCGTTAGTACCTCCTCTAACGCCTGTGTGTTTGTAACAGAGGTTGCCGCTCGAATCGCCGTTTTATATTGCGCACAGATTCTTGCAACAGGATTTGCCGGTTTAATTGCTGCAGGTGTATTCAAGGGTCTGGATGACGCAAGAGGCATCTCGGGCTGGAGATGGTATGTTATCGCATATCGTATACCTCCAACCCTAGAAGCGATTCAGCTAAAATAACCACCCCCTTTTCTTTCCCCCCTCCTAGGCTATTCATTATCGAAGGATGCGCGACCACTGTAGTAGCACTAGGAGGCTTCTTCTTTTTACCAGATACCCCCAGCACGACCCGATGGCTCACCGCACGCGAACGTGAACTCGCGCACGATCGAGTCGAAAAGGACACAATGGGCGAGGGCAACTCACAGAAGATCCCTGTCATGGAAGGCCTGCGACAAGCGGCCAGGGACAAGCGCACATGGATCTTCTGCCTCATGCAGAATTTCCACCTGGCAGCCTGCTGCTTCAACAGCTTTTTCCCAACGTATGTTAACAACCCGGAACTCCCAACCTCCTAAATAAAACGCGCGAAAGTCAAATCTAAGCTGAAATGAACTCAGCTAACAAGAAT